AGAGAGCTCTGGTGCCACCACAAACTACTGGGCTCACTATTATTGTTACCTTATTATTAATTATTATTATTATTATTATTATTATTATTATTATTATTATTATTCTGCTTTCCTCCTAAAATTGGGACACAAAAGCGGCTTACCAATGAAAAGACCAATGCAACAGGACACAGAGCAAAATGGATTCAAGCTACATGAAAAGAGATTTACACACACACACACACACACCCTCAACCTTAGGAAGAGCTTTTCGACAGTGGACATCCCTCCTTGGGGGGGGGGGGGATCTGTCACAAAGGGGGGTGCTTTGATGGTGAGTTCCTGCATGGTAGTATTGGATTGGATTGGATTGGATTGGATTGGGTGGCTTTTTGGGGTCCCTTCCAACTGTAGGAGTCTGTGATTCTTGTTAGAAAACACCCAAGGCGGAGGCCCACCCGAAAACTAAACCCAGGTATGCTAGCAATGCCTGTTTCTTGTTGCCTCTCTCTCTCCGTTTCCCCAAATCTGGGAGGATTTCCTTGCTAGTTTTCATTCCCACCCACGATCTCTAGCTTCCCTTCCAGCTCCAGTGCCTCTCCTCCTCCTCCTCCTCCTCCTCCTTTTTTCTCCTTCTCCATCCAACCTGGGCTCCCTAAAACCCCACCATCCTCCTCCTCCTCCTCCTCCTCCTCCTCCATCCCTCTCAGGTCAGGACTTACGTGTTGGCGGAAGGGAAGGGCCCTTCGGCCGCGATGGGGACCACCAGCAGGCTTTGGGAAAGGGCCAGGCTGAAGAAGAAGCAGCAGCCGCACCAGGAGCCAGGAGCCATCTTCGGGAGCGAAGCCCTCAACCAGGGCGGGGAGGCTTGAAAAGTTATAAAAATGAAAAAGGGAGCCAGGGAGGCCGATGCTCCAGGCTTCAAGGAAAGAGCCACAGGCGGCTGAGGGAGGCAGGCAGGCGGTGCCTTGGTCCAGGAGGAGGAGGGAACAGCCTGCTACTCATCCTCCGCCATCAGGGCTACTTTGGGCACCGTCTGTGCGCTTGCCCTGGTTTATTTATCCCTTCCAGAGGAGGAGGAGGAGGAGGAGGAG